ACCACAGTCAAAATCCCCTCTCGATTCCTCAAATGAACGAGAGGTCCACTTTCAAATCGAGTGATCAAACATTCCTACAGTTAGGGTCATCTCAAACTCCTGCTTGGTCAAACATTCCTACAGTTAGGACCAAAACCACAATTTACTCTCGATAAACGAGAAAGTTATCTTTAGTTCGGTAATCAAACCTTCCGACAGTTAGGGTTATCTGAATCTTGTCGATTCTCGGAGTGGAGATCCCACTCTTAGTTTCATCTTTTTGGATTCTAGGAGTGGAGATCCCACCTCGAGTCTCCTTTCCAGCTGAAGATAGAATATAAAATGCTTCTTCTTCAGTGTCGGGAGATAGAATATAAAATTCTTCCTTTCCCATTTCGGGTTCGTCTTTGCCCCAAGAGAAGACACCACCTTTTTCAACTCCCAAAATCCATGCCTTTTATGCATGGGGAATTTTATCCCGAAGCCTAAGCAGGATAAGCCAACGCCTAACACGCGTTGCCGGTTTAGTCTTTCACCGATTGAAAAAGACACCAGAATCCAGTCTGGGGTATTTTATCCCGAAGCCTACGTAGGGATAAGTCAGCGCTTAACCTGCGTTGCTGGGTGGTTCGTTCCCGTAAAAACGACCGAGTCTACGTATTCAGCATCGTAGCAACAAAAATCCATGTCTTTTATGCATGGGGAATTTTATCCCGAAGCCTAAGCAGGGATAAGCCAACGCCTAACACGCGTTGCCGGTTTAGTCTTTCGCCGATTGAAAAAGACACCAGGGTCTAAACCTAGGGAATTTTATCCCGAAACCTAAGCAGGGATAAGTCTGCACTTAACCCGCGCTGCCGGTTAGTTCTTAACCGTTAAAAAGAACACACGTTCGCATATTCAACATTATGGCAGGTTGTTATTAATAACACCAAAATCCATGCCTTACACGCATGGGGAATTTCATCCTGAATCCTAAAAAAGGATATGTCGACGCCTAACACGCGTCGCCGGTTTAGTCTTTTTCCGTATGAAGAAGACACCAGAGTTCGATTCTGGGGCATTTTATCCCGAAACCTAAGGAGGGGTAAGTCAGCGCCTAACACGCATCGCCGGGTAGTCTATTCCCGTAACAAGAGCGAAGCCTATGTATTCGGTGTCATAGCACAAAGTCTTGGAGAATTCACTCTCTTAGCACAACGTTACATGCGGAACGGATTTAGACAATCCGCATGCTAGCCCGATTCAAACGGTAATCGGTAAAGGCACATCAAACCCGTTGAAGGCTGGGGGTTTGCCAAAAATCCCAAAGTCTATGTCTAACACTTTAGTCTTTTACCGATTGAAGAAGACACCAGAATCCGAGTCTGGGGATTTTTATCCTGAATCCTAAGTAAGGATAAGTCAGCGCCTAACACGCGTTGCCGGGTAGTCTATTCCCGTGAGAAAGACGAAGTCTACGTATTCAATGTCGTAGCGCTAAAAGAGTTAACTCTTTTAGCACAACGTTATGTGCAGAACGGATCTAAACAATCTGCATGCTAGCCCGACTCAAACGGTAGTCGGTAAAGGCTCATCAAACCCGTTGATGGCTGAGAATTTGCCAAAAATTCTATAAGTACGAGTCATTGATGCATCAGCTCTATTAGTTGGTCTCGTTACTCGATTATCCAACAACATTAAAATAAGATCCACAAATGCAGATGAATCAGCTTTAACAGTTGGTCCTGCAACCCCGAAACTTGGGACCACCGTGCTCCAATACCTTAAGAGCTTAAACTGTGTATACTCCAGTAAACGTATGAGTATAAACTATGTCAACGTTCGACGTTCGAAACCTTAGGGTTAACGCCGGTCAACGCGTAACCCTAGGTCAATGCCAGTCAATGCGTTGCGACCAAAAGGTCAACATTCGACGTTCGAAACCCTAGGGTCAACGCCGGTCAACGCGTAACCCTAGGTCAATGTCAGTCAACGCGTTGCGACCAAAAAGTCAAAGTTCGACGCTCGAAACCCTAAGGTCAACGACGGTCAACGCGTAACCCTAGGTCAACGTCAGTCAACGCGTTGCGACCAAAAAGTCAAAGATCGACGCTCGAAACCCTAAGGTCAACGCCGGTCAACGCGTAACCCTAGGTCAACGCCAGTCAACGTGTTGCGACAAAAATTCAACGTTCAACGTTAGATGACCCAAGGGTCAACGCCGGTCAACGCGTAACCCTAGGTCAACGCCAGTCAACGCGTTGCGATAAAAAGTCAACATTCGACGTTCGAAACCCTAGGGTCAACGCCGGTCAACGCGTAAACCTAGGCCAACGGCCGTCAACGCGTTGCGACAAAAAGTCAACATTCGATGTTCGAAACCCTAGGGTCAACGCCGGTCAACGCGTAAACCTAGGTCAACGCCAGTCAACGCGTTGCGACCAAAAAGTCAAAGTTCGACGTTCGAAACCCTAGGGTCAACGCCGATCAACGCGTAACCCTAGGTCAACGCCAGTCAACGCGTTGCGACAAAAAGTCAACATACGGCGATCTGAAACCCTAAATCAACATAATGTGACGGAGGTAGTTCAAAGTCAACTCAATGACACAAGCCAAATTCAATTCATCAGGTGTAGACTCAAGACTCCGACGACGGCCAGGCGATAAACGCAGCGCCGGAAGAACTTCGGTTATTCGTCAAAGCATCGAATAGACTGAAGATCGAAGGAGCCAAGAGTTGAAACTAATTACAGGTCCTTTACGCCGACTGAAGGCTGGATCAATCACATCCAAAGTATTCCAGCCTCTTCTATAAAAGAAACGAGTCTGGAACGCTTTGGAGGGGGTATCTGTAGGCATCGAAAATTGCCTATAGGTCTCCACGAATAGCTCAGTGTTAAGGAACGACAATGAACGTCACCATCTGGTTCACAGAAGCTTGATTGATGTCGGTGAACACTTGAAGTGAATCGACATACTACGTGAGCTGACAGAATTTCGGAATAACGAAGGCACATGTTAATCGAGAGCCCCGCGATGGTTACAAAAAAAGAACAACGCCTTTCGTGTCTCGTTCGTTCTATAGATAATCCAACCATCGGAGCTGATAGAACTCTTCGTCAGAATTCCAACGCAATTCGAATCACTAAAATCCGAGTTCGGACGGAGAAATTACAACGGAGTGTCTCGGATTTTTGGAGACACCCCAGGGGTGTCCTAGATTTTTGGAGACACCCCAGGGGTGTCCTAGATTTTTTGGGGACACCCCATGGGGTGTCGCCTATAAATAGAAGCCTTAGGCCTCACTTTTGGGGATCTGGATTTTTGGAGAATTGGCGAAGCCCTGCTGGAGTGAAGAGTGATCGAGCACTTCAACACAAGAGAGTTCTTCATCAGATCTACATCACCCGCATCCGTTCCTTAGCATTACCCCTCGTCGGTAATCCTAAGAAGAGCAAATATCTCGCTTTATCCGAGATAGGCGCTCCAAGTTTCTAGATCTCTTCGCGGATCGACGAAGCTCTGCCCGATTTTTCTGGATCAGATCTGATTGCCAGGTAGTCCACGGATATCGACGTCCCCGTCACAGGCTAAAGACCCACGCAAGCAAGAGACGATAAACGGATCTTGTGTTTATTTTTAAGAAAGTTGTAATTTTTATTTTCGTTATTTGAATTCATTTGTAACGTTTGAAGTTTTAATGAAATCAATGATGAATGCAACTTTTGACGAAAACAAACATGTCAAACTTAGAGTGGGTTAATCGATTGTCTGCTGTCTCAGCCATTCCTAGGTCTGTAACTGATACATCCGTGATGATCAATAGCCAATGTCTTGATGGATCTCAAGGAGAAATTGACTGTTGCAGCCAAAACTGGATTGTTTGTTACGTGATTAAATGTTATGCGAACTGAGGTTTGATGATGGGCATGTGCATAACGCATCAGCACGCCGTGGTTAAATAGCTATTGAACTAACAAGTCGAAACACTTTTCCTGCCTAACTGACTAGGATAAGAATTTCATATTATATTTAAGGCTGAAAGAGAACCAATTATTGTAATGTTCAATTGTATGAAAGCTTCTATTATTAAAGAAACTCAAGTGTTCACAGAAATATAAAAAGGTCACGGCTGGACAAATAACACGTGCTGAAGCAATTTGACATCATCCTCAAAGCTAACTTTAACTTCACGTCTGATGCTTCTTGCCTGAGGAGCATAATAACAAAACCTCTTTTTACCCAACAAAGAAATAAAATTACTACTTTTATTCAGCTATAAGGTTTAGATGGTTTGATATTGCATACATGTGAAATTATGGTTTCTAGCATGCGCAAACATTGCACGTGTTTTAAAGAAAGTAAATATAATTTATTTTAAATCTTTTAATGAAAATTTGATTGCAATACTGGCATCCATGAGTGAAGCCGATTACTGGATTTGGAACTGAAGTGACTTCATGAAGCGTTCGATATAGCGATACGTATGGTCTTCTTTTAACTAGTGGCATTTTTGGCCTTTCTATGACGAGACAAACATAAACCCCAGGCCTTCGGGTTAAGTAGTAGATCTGAGCTGATTTTGTCTGTCACATGCGTTGGTCAATTGCGTAGGATCACTTGTTCTTAGGTTTTGCTTTGAGTCTTTCTTTCTAATATCATTACCTGGATTGCATAGTTTTATGCCACTATTCTATGAGCTCAAAAAGTCATAACTGACCCCTAACGTTTGCCTGATATTTCTATTTAGGGGCCCTTCATCTGATATTTTAACACACTAAGCTCTTCTCGTTATTATTTCTTATCTATTGAGTTCCATGGTGATTCTCCGGTAGAAATATTTCCACTTTAACCTCAACTAGTTTTCATGCCCGTGCAAAGCACGGGTTGTTTTATAACTTTACTTTCTTAAACGTGTAAGCAGATTCATTAATAAAACTAATTACTTAAGAATCTAACTAATTGTAATCAGAAAATAATGATAATTATGTACCAATAATAATATTACTGACAGTCAACCCATAAGCTTATTACTATCATTACCAAACATGAATATTACTCATAATCAACTCACAAGCTTATTATTATTATTACAAAATATCTAAATTTAGACCTTGAAACGATGTGAATCAAGCTTTGCCTCAGAACAAAGCATTGAACAGAAAAGCCTGTAGCAAAAAATAAATGTCAAAGAAGCTGACGGTAACTTCTATATGTACAGTTAGGCATACATATTGCAAAAATCAGTCCAAGAAAGCAGACTGGTTAAGACAATGAAAGGAAATGGATACTTCCCAGATTTAGGCGAGGATAAGTGCCTTTCATGAAAAATTTAATCACATGTTCATGTTGCCTTTAATTTCGGTATATAGGTTCTTCAGATCTTTCTTCTCTAAATCTGATCCACTGTAGTTAGCTTCGAATTCCTCAATATCAGCTTCTGTCACCTACAGCAAAGGAAATTAAAATAAGCACTGCCATTCTGTGTTAATTTGATAAAAGAAAAGTAAAGAAAATGCAAATTGCCTTTTTATACATTGTCCTGAAGTACTCTTGCAGATTTTCAGCAGCTTCAGTAGATAGGTCCTGATAGGCAAAATAATAACAATTAGGAAAGCTGTTGTGGCATAAATCATATAAGTGATTGAAAAAGGTTAAACCAGGGTATAACATCAGCATTGCTATGGGCTTTCAAATATAGAATGGAAGATGGCTAAACAAAGGTTTAATCTCAGTACCGGGGTAGACTTAAAGGCCCTTTTCAACATCAACATTGGGAATTATGGTTCTTTGGAATCTCAAAAAAAATTAGATCGTTAATATCAACAGTGTTAAAAAAAACCTAAAATGACTACGAAGGCAATAAAAAACATTCTCACATTTTTTGAATAACTGATGAACTTCAAAGTTTACAGTATGTGGAAACAAAAAGGTGGACATATATAAAACGTTCAAGAGTGCATTCTCCCTGACTCCCATTTCTAAGAGAAAGATTTTGTGAGAAACGTTTGTATGAAGGTGTGATGGCCAAATTTCAGGCAGAAGCCCTCTGAAGCTCTTTGAAAGAACAATTGCTGGTGTTTCACATGAATTGCCCCAACCAATAAAATAGTGAATTTCAGATAGGTTCAGCCAATGCTTAATTTGTATGAAACCTAATTTTCTTTGTAATAAAAATAATCAATTATATTAAATGGATAACTTTCATAGTCCAGCACACGTACTTGAGAAACTATAGAGATTACTTAATCACAAAATATGATAAGGATTAATGTATGATATCAGTTTCAGAGATCAGAAAACACAATTCATAGTCACATTTGTATTATAAATTCAATGCATATTCAAATAAAATATAAATTCTAAAATCATAGACAACACAGACATGGTGAATGACAATAAAGAATGGGTTCTTTCAACAAATAAGCACTTCCGAGTGACACTATATTACAATTATATAAACTCATGACGGCATTAAGATAGATCTCCCTGCTGTGTTTAAAGATTATCAAAGCAAAATAAAACTTGAATGAAAAACATGAAGAGCTTTCTATACAACCTAGTTTATAGCTGAGACAGACCAAAAGGTTCCACGGCTCCATATATATAGTTCTAGCTTTTTATTGATATTCCAAGTAGATCACTGGCAATAACAATTTGATGTATGAATCCAATCAAGTATGCACAAAAGGGCACATGACTATCATATGAGAAAATCATGCGCTAACTAAAGTAGTAGGTAAAATCTGCAAAAATTAATAGCGATAAAACAACCGGAATGATCTTAGAGCTTTAATAGTATCCCAAGTCTGACTCTAAAATTTTGCAACTTAAACATACGTGTAACTTATCAATTAGTATAAAATGTTGAAGTATACCTAAAAGAAAAAAAAGAAAAAAGGTGATAACATAGTCATCAAATACTTTCAGAACATAAACTCATATTAGAATTGAATCCCTTGAAGGAAGTTTCAACAAAATAGAGAATTTGTGCAAGAGTACACGTCTAAGTATTTAATTAAAATGTGTGACAACCACATTGAGATGGAAAAAGCATACTTGTGGATCACTCGACCTATGATTTTCTCGTCAAAATAATAAAAATACTTGGATGTAGCCCACAAACATCTTATTCAGTCTTAGATAGGATTCTACCATGGAGGACTATTAATATTACAAATAAATTTTTTGATGAAAGCAATTCAGTTAATATCAGTGGATTACTGTTACATCATTTCTTCTAGTGAGCTTCAAGTATTGCAATGTGACATGATCTATGGGAAGAATCCCATAGTTGCTCTATACTCACATGAGCTTCAAGTATTGCTCTATACAAAATTATAATTCACTCTCACCACAACCACAACTTCGGAGTTTTGATGTAGTTGAAGAAACCTTTTACCACATTTAAAACTCGGAAGTAACGGTGAGGACTATGGATTATAATTTTAAATTCTAACAAAAACATTAAATTTGATGAAGAGAAAAGAAGAAGAAGAAAGAAACCTTGTAGAGATCTAGAAGAATGTTGTCTAATGATTCTTGTGCTTGATCGATACATCGATTTCTCAAGGATTTGATAGCTTCAATGGCTTCTTCAGCTCTATTATGTTGCTTTGTAACAATGGCCATGTCTTTGAGAGCACTGTCAACTGTCTCTAGCATTGATTGCGGCCCAAAACAGAGCAATTGCTCTCTCTGGATCCTTATCAACCAACTGACAGATAACCAACGTCACAAAAATTGCTACAGGAAAAAATAAATAAAAAAATCTGGGAAAACCCCAGAAAAAAAAGATTACCTGAACTCTTTTTGCCCTGACATAGGGCCATAGGGGGTGTCACCAACAGGGACTTTGAAAGCTACATGAAAGGACTTTGACGCAACATTTTGTTATATAACTTAAGAACTAATTAAACTGAGTTTTGGGCTCTCTTTATCAAATTCTTTGAGCATCTTCTAAAAAAATTTAACGAAGATATAAAGCTATAAAGGTGACCATTTTATCATAAATAACAAAATCTTACTGAAAACAGATTAGAAAGTTTATCACATTTCTCAGTCCACGAATCTCTTTTGAAGAGGGAAAAATATCTCCTATTGAACTCAACTTTGCGTCACCAAAGCTCAAAAAGACGACAACTTTGCAGCACCAAAGTGCAACAAAACTACCAAAACCCCTAAGCTATAATCATATTCCGAACAAAAAACAAAAATCAACAAATACCGTTAACAGAATCAAGAAAACTCAAAAAGAGGCGATTTTGAGATCTAGGGTTTGATCAAATACCATTCCTCGTGATGAGATATTGCTTATCAGCAGGCAAATAGGACTTCCTCTTGCTCGATTCCCCCGCCTCCCTACAAAAGTCAACAAATTAGAGAGAAAGAGAGAGAGAGAGAGAGAGAGAGAGAGAACCAAAGGTAGGGTTTTGAGAAAAGTGGGAGTAGTGCCAGGACCAAGTAGGACACTTGGAGATGAGATTGTCGACGGCGATGACGAACTCGGAGACGCTGAGTACGCCCTTCTCCTTGAAAGCGTAGAGCGTTCGAGGGCTCATGATCCTCTCCACCGTGCCCTTGATCTTTTCCTTGAAATCATGGCTTGACTGGAGAGGGAGGGCAGAGAGAGAGAGAGAAGAGAAATAGGGAGTTTTAAGAGGGAGAGGGAGGAGGAGGGGAGAGTTATTAGAGCAAGTCCAGCAAGCTCCCACTTAGGAGTCCTAGTCATCAAGCTCTCAAAAGCTCTCAAGCAATTTGGTATAAAAAATTATAAAAATAGGTCTTGGGAGCATCTCCTTATTTTATGGAGCTCCAACAAGCTCCTAGTTAGGAGCTCCAACAATATCAAAAAAACCCCTCTTCTATTTTAATATTTTACCCATTACTTTTAATTATATTTAAACCTCTTGTATTTTATTTCTAACCGTTGGATACGGTCTTCGAGGGAGCGCACACGGTCTTCGAGGCAACCCACGGTCTTCGAGGGAGCGCACACGGTCTTCGAGGCAACCCACGGTCTTCGAGGGAGCGCACACGGTCTTCGAGGTAACCCGCGGCTTTTGAGGGAACGCACACGGTCTTCGATGTAACCCGCAGTCTTCGATGTTGGGTACGAAGTTCGAGGTGTCGCAAACTTTGACCGTCATCCGACTGATGCCTATAAAATTCGACGGCTTCTCTCCTTAACCCATCATCTCCCAGAATAAAATGTCTAGCTCATCTAGCTCTAGCGATGATGAAATGATGAAGAGTCTAAACTGTTTCCCCACTTTTGACGGGAAGTTCCTGGAGAATATTAAGCTAATATTCTTAAGGATAACCCGGTTAGTTAACTGATAATAATGTCCGAACCAGTTCCGCAGAGGAAACTGGGGGTGGACGATTTATGTAACGGGAAGTTCCCAAAACCACAGCAATGTAATGAATAAGGACTCCCATTCAAGTTCTCACTGTGTCTGTGCACTCAACACTCTCTCTGTTAGAGTCTGGACGTAAAGTTCCTGATTGGTCAAACCTTCTTACAGTTAGGACCACAGTCAAAATCCCCTCTCGATTCTCCCAATGAACGAGAGGTCCACAAATCAAGCGATCAAACCTTCCTACAGTTAGGATCGTCTTAAACCTTCCATTCGGTCAAACCTTTCTACAGTTAGGACCAAAACCAAAAACCCCTCTCGATTCCTCCAATGAACGAGAGGTCCACTTTCAAATCGAGTGATCAAACCTTCCTACAGTTAGGGTCACCTCAAACCTCCCACTTGGTCAAACCTTCCTACAGTTAGGACCAAAACCACGATTCATTCTCGATAAACGAGAAATTCATCTTTAGTTCGATAATCAAACCTTCCGACAGTTAGGGTTATCCGAATCTTTTTGATTCTCGGAGTGGAGATCCCACTCTTAGTTTCACCTTTCCGGATTCTGGGGGTGGAGATCCCACCTCGAGTCTCCTTTCCTTCTTTGTTCGGGGAATAGAATATAAAATTCTTCCTTCCCCATACCAATCCTTTTCGAAGAATTCAGGATTCATCCTAGGAAGTTTATCCCGAATCCTAAGCAGGGATAAGTCTGCGCCTAACACGCGCTGCCGGTTTAGTCTTTTTCCGCACAAAAAGACACCAGAGTTCGATTCTGGGGTATTCTATCCTGAAACCTAAGCAAGGATAAGTCTGCGCCTGACACGCGCTGCCGGTCAGTTCTTAACCGTTTAAAAAGAACACCCGTTCACATATTCAACATTGTGACAGGTTGTTATTAATAACACCAAAATCCATGCCTTACACGCATGGGGAATGTCATCCTGAATCCTAAGAAAGGATATGTCGACACCTAACACGTGTCGCCGGTTTAGTCTTTTACCGATTGAAAAAGACACCAGAATACCAGTCTGGGGTATTTTTATCCCGAAGCCTAAGTAGGGATAAGTCAACGTCTAATACACGTTGCCGGGTAGCCTATTCCCGTAACAATGGCGAAGCCTATGTATTCAACATCATAGCACAAAGTCTAAGAGAATTCACTCTCTTAGCACAACGTTACATGCGGAACGGATTTCGTCAATCCGCATGCTAGCCCGACTCAAACGGTAGTCGGTAAAGGCTAATCAAATCCGTTAAAGGCTTGGGGTTAGCCAAAAATCCTAAAGTCAACGCCTAACACGCGTCGCCGGGTAGTCTATTCCCGTGAGAAAGACGAAGTCTACGTATTCGAAGTCGTAGCATCAAGTCTAAGGGAGTTCATTCCTTTAGCACAACGTCACATGCGGAACGGACTTAAGACAATCCGCATGTAAGCCCGATTCAAACGGTAATCGGTAAAAGCATGACAAATCCGTTGAGGGCTGAGGATTTGCCAAAAATCCTAAGTCAACGTCTGATACACGTTGCTGTTTAGTCTTTTCACAGGAGAAAGACGAAGTCTACGTATTCAATATCGTAGCACTAAAAGAGTTAACTCTTTTAGCATAACGTCACATGCGGAACGGACTTAAACAATCCGCATGCTAGCCCGACTCAAACGGTAGTCGGTAAAGGCGCATCAAACCCGTTGATGGCTGGGGATTTGCCAAAAATCCTATAAATACGAGAGTCACTGACGCATCAGCTTCATTAGTTGGTCTCGTGACTTGAGCATCCAGCGACATTCAAAACCCTAAGGTTAACGCCGGACAACGCATAACCCTAGGTCAACGCCAGTCAACGCGTTGCAATCAAACAGTCAACGTACGACGTCCAAAACCCTAAGGTCAACGCCGGACAACGCGTAACCCTAGGTCAACGCCTATCAATGCATTGCAATGAAAGAACTAATACTCCGAAAGGTATACGAGTATAAACTGCTTCTTAATACTCCGAAAAGTATACGAGTATAAACTGCTTCTTATACTCCGAAAAGTATACGAGTATAAACTGCTTCTTACTACTCCGAAAAGTATACGAGTATAAACTGCTTCTTATACTCCGAAAAGTATACGAGTATAAACTGCTTCTTATACTCCGAAAAGTATACGAGTATAAACTGCTTCTTATACTCCGAAAAGTATACGAGTATAAACTGCTTCTTACTACTCCGAAAAGTATACGAGTATAAACTGCTTCTTATTACTCCAATAAGGTATACGAGTATAAACTATTCCCTATTTTTGTTGAGAAGTTTCTGGAGAATATTTTTCTAAAAATATTCTTAAGAATAACTCAACAACACTGCGCCGGACAACGCGTCACAAATAAAGACTCAACGCCAGCAATCGATGGTTAGTTATACGAGCTAAAGATTGAAAATCAGGAATCGACTTCAAAGTTCAAAATTCCGACAAACGGTCAGACAATAAATGCAGCACCAGAACCCTTACAGACATTCGACAAAGCACCGAATAGCCTGAAGGATTGAAGGAATCAAGAACAGAAGCCATTCCAAGGTCCCGTTACACCGACTGAAGGTGGGGACAATCATATCCAAAGTATTCCAGACTCTTCTATAAAAGAACGAGACTGAAATACTTTGGAGGGGGTATCTGTAGGCATATAAAATTGCTTATAGGTCCCTTAGCACAGCTCGGCACAAACCGACGAACCAACGAGGCGACGAGATCGACGAATCGCACGCAAGCAACGGAATACATCCGTTCGCATTTGGAATCAAGCCAAGTGTTAAAGAGTCAACGAGTGATCCAACCAAGGACAAACTCGGACGAATCACGATCGAATCAAGATCAGTTTCGGACTCGAACTCAGAAGCGGATTTACTGCCTAATCAGGATCCAGATTTACTGCCAAATCAGGAATCGGATTTACTGCCTAATCAGGATCCAGATTTACTGCCAAATCAGGAACCAGATTTACTGCCTAATCAGGATCCAGATTTACTGCCAAATCAGGAATCAGATTTACTGCCTAATCAGGATCCAGATTTACTGCCAAATCAGGAATCAGATTTACTGCCTAATCAGGATCCAGATTTACTGCCAAATCAGGAATCAGATTTACTGCCAAATCGGGATCTAAATCAACCGAATCACGAGACCGGAAAAAACGGCAAAAAACCACAACACCCAGAGGTGACCGACAGTTGTCATTTCGCGGCCACCCCGAGGGGGCCGACAGTTGTCATTTCGCGGGCACCCCCCCACCTCAAGGTGGCTCGGCACAGTGCCGGCCACCTCGAGGTGGCCGACAGTGGCCGACGGTGGCCGACGTTTCTCTTTTTGCGGGCACTGTCCTGAGAGCCTATAAATAGGCCACCCCCTTGTCATTTGAGAAGGTTGGAAATTTTGGAGAGAGGCGAAGCCCTGCTGGATTGGAGACTCGGAACTTAAAAAAGATTGAAACTTTGGGACTTCGGGGACTCACTCCTTCAGATCTGGTGCTCGGCGATCATCAACGTCAAATAAGGCAGGTGCTCGAGAGGATCAGATCTCAGATCTACGCAGCTACACTCCGGATCTAAGCTTGGTCTTAGATCCCGAGACTTGGACGATTGTTTCCTTGGTGAAACAATCCTCCCCGGCTATTATTTCCTTGGTGAAATAATACCCGTCGTACTGCGTAGATCCGACCGGATCTAGATCTCGCGGTGGTCCACGGCAAATAACCCCGGCGCAGGCAAAGAACCCACCAAGCGAGCGACCACAAAACAGGAGCTCGCGATTCGTTCGACACAAAAGGAGAAAAGTTGTAATCTTTGTTTATTTTTATTTGATTTTCGTTGTAACCGGATCTTATAAAAAGACCGGATCTTTGGTAACTCAAAAAGTTGTAACTCAAGATGACAATGGAATCAATAACAAAGAAAGACACGAATTTTCCAGCGAACAGATGGTAGTTTGGTAAATAACCAGACCCAAAACCAACAGGAATTCGTGTGAACAGAATCCCAAACGAACCAGGAAACCCTCGATGAGTTGACTCATGACTGTGATGAGTCGACTCGACAGAAACTGGAAAAATCTTAACAACCAGCGATGAGTCGACTCATGACAGTCATGAGTCGACTCAACCTGATGAGTCGACTCATGACTGTAATGAGTCGACTCACAGGCTAAAAACTGGGTATTTCGATTCTTCTGCTCGTCGTCTCGTTCCACGCTTTCTCCTATGTTCCCTTATACTGTTTGACACCTCTATTCTCATGCGATCATGAGAATCATCTATCCTCAAGCTCCCATGAGGATCGCTAAGTTCTGAATAGAAGATACACCCGTA